CAGCATCGTTTTCAAACTTGTCCAAATCCAGCCACATGTGGGTCGGGTTAGTAATGCAGGCGAGCGTAGCAAGGTTTCCATCTAAAGCAAAGTGAAAGAGCTACAAATAAATCCAATCATTTTAATCTGTGAAACACATCCAGTCGATAGAACAAACCTGAGGCAATAACACAATGCTGTTTTGCAATTAGATGGGTTCTGTTGAAACTAAACAGAAACAGCATGCAGAGAGGTGTCATGTGACTTCATATGTTAAGTCATTCCCGTTTAAAATCACTGCGTTTCAAAATCTTTATATTTACAGACGTCTAAACCTTCGAGCAACAACTCCCAGCCTTGCCGCGAGGCCTCAGACATCAGTCATGCATTGTTCATTTGCATTAAGTAAGCTACATTTAATTTCCCAATCATCTGTTGGCATGGCTTGTAATTAGATGCTAATAGAAGCCAGTACTCTTTGAGGGCGGGGGACGGTGAAAGAGGAGAAGGAGAGGATTGCATAATTATTACAGAGATAAAGACCTATCTCCATCAGCCAGCACTCGCTCTTGTTTATGGTCCTTTTCCTCCTACTGATGTGCATTTTAATCTGTCTCCAGTGTTTTATCCTTGATTTGACTCACTGGACCTGAAGGACACGTGGAAAGACCAAATGACAGAACTGTTGTCCAGATATATCATTTATAAAGTCATATCTTAGTAATCACAACAGACAAGTGATAAAGTCCAAGAATTAATGCAGTAAGAAATAAAACACTGAATAAAATACTCAAATGAAGTTAACATTTTGTTTTAGTTCATTTAATGAGTTTATTTAATGACATGTTGAACATTCAATAGATTTTTGTTTATGTAATTAGTCTATCATTATATTAATGGAGTTTGACAATTTTAGTTTATTTAATGAGTATTGTGTTGACTTAATGACACGATGAACACTCAAAAGGTTCTTCTTTTATGGGTTTAGTGTGTTTATTTAACGGTATTTACAATCATTGATCATCAGAGTTTAATAAATGTAATGTGTTAATTTAATGTCATGATGCGACTGGACATTTTGAATTTTCCTCTGGGAATCAGAAAAATCTATAGAAAATGTTTGCGTTTTTTTTCCAGTCAGAATGATTAAATGTTTTTGAGTTTGAATCCAATGAAAATAGATTTTTTTTCTGTCTATCTGAATGTTTCTGTGGGAATATTTTGAATAAATTATTATTATTATTATTATTATAGTATTTTTAATAGGGGCAGATATGAGATTTTTTTCTTCTTTCTGCTGCCTCTCATTTCATTTAATATGTATTTTTTTTGTGTGTGATTTTTTTTTTTGTTTTTAAATTAAATGAATACATGTCCTGATGCATCCCAGCAATCCAGGTAGAAAAATCAAAAAGAAAAAGTACTCTGGACGAGTTCCTCTTTAATGAAATGTTTCGTTTCTCCTCCAAGAGACTTCTTCAGTCTGAGGAGTTTCAGGTAAACTCAGCCTTATAAGCTCCGCCTCCACATGGACAAACAGGTTGGTCGCATGCAAGAGGACCATCAGCCAAACAATAGATCGTTAGTGCCTTGATTAGCTCTATTGTTCATAGAGGGTCATGTGCTCCATTACCTGACTATCGTTGGGGCCCTGAGTCACACCTTTTGCTCACAGGGGGCGGAGTCATATTTGCAATAACAGTGTTGTAGGAGGAGGACAACTGGACACGAAGGCCTCCACTTCTGTTTAATGGTGGACGGTTTTTCTTCCCAAAGATGGCTTCCTTTACTCCTCTCTCAAACCAACGTTCCTCTCTATCAAGGATGAGGACATCATCTCGGAAAGAGTGACCGCTGGTCTGTAGATGAGTGTAAACTGCAGAGCCCTGGCATGTAGATGAGTGTAAACTGCAGAGCCCTGGCATGTAGATGAGTGTAAACTGCAGAGTCCTGGCCTGTAGATGAGTGTAAACTGCAGAGCCCTGGCCTGTAGATGAGTGTAAACTACAGAGTCCTGGCCGGTAGATGAGTGTAAACTACAGAGTCCTGGCCGGTAGATGAATGTAAACTACAGAGTCCTGGCCGGTAGATTAATGTAAACTACAGAGTCCTGGCCTGTAGATGAATGTAAACTGCAGAGTCCTGGCCTGTAGATGAATGTAAACTGCAGAGCCCTGGCCTGTAGATGAATGTAAACTGCAGAGTCCTGGCCTGATGATTTAAGTCGTCTGTGCTGGCTCATTCTTTTGAACAGTGGCTGTTTTGTTTCCTTGATGTGTAACTGATCACAGTCCTCCTGACACTTAACAGCATATGCAATATTACTGTCTGTGCCAGAGAACTGGATCTTCGGGGTGAACCAATCTTTGTCGTAATGTGTTTTGGGGTTTGAAAACCACTTTTTTTTAAAAAGCCATTTCATCTTTTTGATTTTTCAGCCTGGATTATTGAGATGCATCAGGACTTTCTGAGCCAGAAAAAAGTTTTACTGATATTGGCTAAACTATTAGGGGGCTTTGGTGACACAAGTCAGAGTTAGAAATACCAAAATAAATCTAACTTAGAATACATAAAAATGTTTTATCACTGTAATGCCTCATAATCGAGTCCATAAATGGAGAACAAAACATTTAACTTTGTTTTATGTGGACTTTGAATTAGAGGCAGTGCAAGTTTTGACTTTGTCATTTAACATACAACCGCTATGAGCTGCAGATGTGATTCTATAGGCATGTTCCAGGTCTCATTTAACTGACTCGAGAGTGCTCCCCGCTCTGTGATGCTCTCTAATTGGCTGTGAATGGCCCCTCGGGTCGCTCAGGGAAGCCTTTGATGAGGCTGGAAGACTGGCTGCTCAAGTGGCTTTTGAATCAAGCTCTCCAAGAGAGGCTGAAAGCAGCTGGCTGCTTCGCTGAGTGATGAACACACTAACAGGATGACGAGGAAGAGGACGTGCACTCGCAGGAGCTCATTAACTGTTCACTCAGACAAGAAATCACAACAAGAAAAATATAGCTAGGAGTCAGGAGCTGCTGGTAAAACGACTTCCTCTGACACAAAAGATGAGTCGTTTTAAACCTGCTCGACGGAGTGATTCCCAAAGAGCTATCAGCTGAAAACTGGTCATACAGACGGATGATGCAACTCTCAGGTCTGGTGTCGGGTTCTTACTGCAATCCTGCTCATCTGATGGATGTGGTATTTTTAAACCTGAGGTTTCTTTTGTGTTCAACTCGTCAACTTTACTTCATATTTAAGCTTCATCAGCCAGCTTCATCATAATCAGATAAAAAGACAGGACATAAAAAGATATCAAAATGCTAATAACGTTATTTTTAAAGTGCCTGTGACATGCATATTCATGAAATACAAAAAAATCAAAGAAAATGTATTTCTATTTAAGAAACTTGGCATAAAATACGTGATTTTACCCATTATTTTCTTTTGAACTTGGCTCAGCTAAAGTGAAACAGGAAGTGACATCAAAGGGGAACTCTTTGAGAAAGAAATCTCCCTGGTTTTTTGTTTATTTAAACAATATTATTTGAACTATGACTCTTTCTCATCTCTCTATGATAGTGATTAAAATAATCTAAAGAAACATCAGATTCTTCTCCACAGTCTGTGTCGTTGGCCTTTGTAGCAACGTCCTGTTATGCAGACATTCCCTTTTGACATCACTTCCTGTTACTGAACATGCAAATATCTCAACAACTGTTCATCTCAGCAGCATGAAATCTTTTTTTACAATATGTTAATAATGTTATCTTTCCATAAATACATTCAATTTTATTACAAAATTTGATGTCACGGGCACTTTAAGGTTAAAAAGAGCTACAACTTTGTCATTCAGGCTGCCTGAATGCTAGGTCTTTAATGTGATCTGGTTTTTCTCTGTTGAGTTCAAGAGTTTGGAAAAAACATTTATATTGACTGAATCTGAGTTTATCATTAGTTTAGTTATTGTATCCTACAAAATAAAAGCCCTCAACTTACAGCAGAAATAAAGCTGACCTTATCAAGTCTTATACCCCCACCTGCTGTCCTCTGAGGGTGAAACTGAAAAATGACGCTGCAGGAAAATGAAAACTCAACACAGAGCCACAGATCTGACGCCTCACCTCTCTGGCTTCATGATAATTAGGAGCTGAGCCTCCTCTCTGGAATAAATCAGCAGCGTGCATTAATTCTAATCACTGTGCGCAGCCAGGCTTGACCAACAGGGCCCAGGGGGGCCACAGTCCTGTCTGAGCGTTTGAGTCCCATTCATACGGCCAACCATGCTGAACCACGCTCTTCAGGGTTCAGTGCAGAGCTGCTGCAGTGGCAGCAGAACTCTGGGAGTGTCTGACCTTTACTGCAGCGCTCACCTGAGTGAACCTGAGCTGTGACCTTTTAACAAACACCAGAACAAATCAGTCTTTATGTCAGCGAGCCGTTACACTCAGGACCACCGACCTACAGGCTGTTTAAAAAAGTAGCAGCTTGGATACAGATTAGTCAAAAAAAAGATCTGGTTGTTTCATTAAAACACTCTGTAGGACAAAAAACAAAAAAGTGAATGTTTGTTTTCCTGAACCCAGAAAGGACGAGTTAATCTTTATGTTCTGAAAGACATGTTCTTATCACTGTCAGATAACGGTTTGCAGGAATGCACGATACATCAACATTAACATCGGTATCATTTTTTAGAATATCAGTATCAGTCCAATAAGTCAAACTGGGCCAATATTAACGTCTGATATTGATTTCCCACATTTTATCTTTGTGCTTGTGTTTTGGGAGAGGAAATGGTTGGACGAGTGGTATCTGTTTGATCATGATAGTAAAGCTGCGCAGCCAGGAATAACTGAAGCAGAGACATGTCAGCGGTCTGGTCGTCTTTTTTCAATACATACGTACGTACGTACATACATACATACATATTTATAGTATGTATGTATTGAAAAAAGACAAAAGCGATAGATCGATAGATGATCAGATATATATTATATATATATACATCAAAACTGTCCACCTACCTTGGATTTAACAGCCCAGTACTCCTCTGTTCCATACTCCACATGTTTGAAAGCGGTCAGGTAGTCGTAGCTGATCACCGCCGTCTGCAGACGGAAAGAATTTGAAAATGTGTGAGACATCAGCAGCTCAACTTTTCTTTTAAAAAGGTTCAAACAGAAATCAACTAAACATATTAAAGTTTAGACTGGCAGTTTGGCAAAAACTGGATTTATTTTTATTCATTTWTTTATTTATTTTTTGGGAACCAAGAAGTAGAGATCGTCTGAATATCGGCCTTTGGGGGCTGTTTGAATATAAATATTCTGAGTTGAACCCAGACTTTGTGTCTCAAGTCAGTCCAATGATCAGAAGCACAGGAGATTGTTGTCATAAGGTTACACAACTGGTGTCCCAATAAAGTGAAAAGTCGTCTTTCTAACAAACGAATGTGATTGACAAAAGAACTGACATGTGACCAATCAAATTCTGTTTAATACAGATATATTTATACTGCAGTTGTGTCAGTCTGCTTAGTCTAAACCACTCTGCCAGTGAAACTGCTGAAAAGTTGTTTCTGACATTTACAAGAGGAACTACTTGATTTGCTGCGGACCATTTCAAATTGTCTCGACATCCGGAGCGACACGATCTGATTATACAGCAATGTTACACGAATATTACTCCGTCAACAAAAACAGCTTCATACTGATGTTTTTGCTGTTCACAGTGTGACTTGTGGAAAATTGTTATGATTTCAAGACCAGGATCATCATGAAGTCTTATATTTAACATTACATCGTTCCTGACATTAGAACCTGTGAAACACCTGATGTCAAACTCACATCTAAAACTGTGCTCTATTTGAACACAAAGTCAGTTGTTATTTTTGATGTAAGAGCCCAAAACAACAGAGGTGAAAGTGAACTCACGGTGGCTGCGGCTCGTCCGAAGCGAATAACACTCAGGTCGTTGATGTCCAGCCGTTTGCTGGAGAGGTAAAAGCCAGAAGAGGCGAACACTGCTGTGGCCAGACAGGAGACTTTCAGGAGCCGGACCGCCATCAGAGGACTGTAAGAGAATGTAAAAAAAAAAAGTCCTCAAAGGCAGTTCAATAAAAGGTCCAGAAGTAAGTCATGAAGACTCAACTAAATAAATAAAACAAAATCTGTATAATATTAATGTGTCAGTCAACTGCTACGTGTGTTTGTTTACCTACAGAAACAGCCGAAGTGTGTTTATTTACCTACAGAATCAACCGAAGTGTGTTTGTTTACCTACAGAAACAGCCGAAGTGACTGAAAACAGGTTAAACATCTAGCAGGAGGTTTGCTGAAGCCAACTAGACCCATACAGGCAGGTCAATCATGTCATTCAAGATTCTGACAAATTTAGCAAAGAGTTTTGTTTACATTAAGYGCATACCCACATTTCAGAACTGCATCGAAACATTTCTAGAAAACTACTCATGTAAACTTTTACAAACTGCACCATTTGATATAGTTCAGGATAAACTACTATACGTTTCATTTTAAACTTTTACAATGAATATATTTAATGTCTGTATTTTAACTTCAATTCCTCAGCTCATCAGTTCAAAAGGTTGCATTCAAATATTTACAAATTTAAGCTTATTCTGTTGTTAAGCACTGAAGGGTGGATGTAAATAAAAAATAAAAAGTAATAAAGTTTATGAACAGTGTACTCTTCGGTTCGGCACTCACCCCAAGCAGCCAGATCCAGGTTCGAGTGGAAACTCACAGGTGTCCCTCAGCTTCCGGTGGGTCTCATGTGTTCCTCAAAAACCCTTCAGTCCATCATGATGGCTGTGACCTGCACACCGCAGTCACTTACGCAAGCCTTTTGTAACCGSGGTACGTGAACGAGCTAACAAACACACACACGGAGCTGTCAGCTAGCAAAAACACTCCACATGTAACAACAACCGCATCTTTCTTCTTCACTTACCGGTTTTATTTTTGACCTCTTGCCGTATTTCGAACSGGCAGGAAATAAATCTGGATAATGTAGTTCTTACTGAGAAGAAAGACTGAACATAAGTGTAACATAGATCGCAAACAAAAAAAGTGGGAAACAAGTAAGTTTCAGTTTWAGCTGTGTTTGGTATTTTTGAATCGTTTGCGTCAAAGTAGCGACGACTTTAGCTTGACTTTTGCTGGCTTTGACAAATGTAAACTACACTTCCGGTACAGATGTTACGTCGAGCCGGTTTCCCCAGCGTTTTCTTGCCGCTCCGCACCGCCCACCCGAGAAAAAACGCGCGTGCTTGTTCAGGGCTCGTAACCAGCGCGTAGTGCACGGCTCCGTGCACGCCCGGCAAAGACAACTACGGATACCGTGAAAGCTCAAACAACATGTTGCACCGAAGCCGTCCCACTTTGATAGTTCAATATCTTTATTCTTTATTTGATGTTTATTGTTTATTAATTGTATTTGCTGTAAAACACTTTTGTGCTGATTTTATTATTATGTGCATTTTTGCAGCTCAAACATATATGTTTGAAATTATAACTACATTCAAAGTGGGTTGCA